GGTGATTATCTTCAGCAGTCATTGGTCGAGAGGTGGGGTACGCCGCGGACAAGGCAACACAGAGACGCACAGGACAGACAACCATGGGCACACACACACAAACGCACACACACACATACACACACACATCTCTTCTGCACTAGTTTAATACGAGTAAAAAAGTCTGATTTTAGCTGGTTACTTTCTCAGCTTACCTGAATTACATAAAAAGTGTTCCTTGTCCTTTTGGTCCACAGATTTGCATGAAATGACCTATAAATCCACATTTTATGGGCTTCTGGACATACTTCAAAGTTTTTTTTTTGTTTTTTTTGTTTTTTTTTCTGTTAAATTGAAATATTTATTGAGAATACAAAACAGATATTCTCAAAAAGATGAGAGGGCTGAGTGGTCTGATTCATTTCCTGTAAGTGCATCCCTGACCAGCCTGTATGCACTGACCAACCACTCTAGTACGCAAGCAGTAACTCTTGTGTATTAATTCACTCTGACAGGAAAATAGAGCATTAGCAAAGATAATGTTTTTTCTCACACACTGTCTCTGATGTAAATATTCAGCTTTAATAAATGTACACCCTTACAAACCTTTGACTTCAAGGTTGTTGTTTTTTTCCAATCTAAATAAAATACCTTGAGATCATTCTGTCTCATAAGCATATCTGTAAAATTTCCCTTTCTAGTTAAAAGCTTGTATAAAAATCTAACCTTGACACTGTGTGTATTTTTATCATTGGTCCTTCACTTCTATTGAGAACCAACAACAAAAACCATCTGTAAAAATGCAGAACTCTGTAGCTGTACAATGTTTAATATGAAGAAAAAGAAGGTTTTACCGATGTTAACACAGCAGCATGCTTATCCTCTAGTGTTCAATGATTTTATCACAGCAACATACACCTGCCAAGCTAATTGTGATTATTATATGACAGCCTCTCAAAGGGCTGCCAGCTGTAACAGTCAGTTGTTTAATCTTTCTCCCCATAACTTTGATCATATCTCCATAATCGTCACTATTATTTTGATTCTGTTGCATTAATGCATTGCACTAAGTTGACATATTAGTGCAAGAAAACTACAGCCCAATTCTTAAACTTTTTCTCTCAATCATGCTTGTTTTAGGGATCCTTGAATCTTCAGTGGCAGCCATTCATGGTGGCCTTAAGGCCTGCAATTCTTCCCCAAAGTTCTTCCTTCCAACTTCAGTCCCTCCTGCTCCATAAAGCACCCATAAGGTTTAACAATATCCTGAATTTGCATTTTCCAAAGACTATATTATGAAATGTAGCTCCTTTGTAAAACAAAATACAAGGCTCCTAAGAAGGGCTGAAAACAGCATCAATGGACCAACAGGGAGAGGCAATGTTGTGAAGAGGGAGGACAAGAGGTTCTTAAAAAGACAGAGACCAATTTCAAGTCTTCAAATGCAGCTATGATGTGAAGTCAAATTTGCAAGTTGTTTCTGAAATATACAGCATTTTTTATAACAAAGGAAGTAACAGTTACTTAAGTGTACTATGAAATGGCACTATATGCCTGAAAAAAATACAACAACAAAAAGAAAAACTTTTAAGTTTCTGAAATTACCCTGGCACCAACCCAAATATCTGTACTGTGCTTAATGACTAGGTCCAGAATATCAGACCTGTCACAATAAATGAACTTTACAAAATCTGCCAAGCAAAGGGATCAAATATCAAGTCAGAATTTTGCCTTTGGTTACAACATGTAAGTGGCAAAGTTGGCATGTATCGAAGAATATTTAGCTACATATTAGTGAGGATGTATAGGTGAATCTAACAATAAAGTTATTTGTTCTGTAGTCATAGTGTCCTAAATTGGTTCAAACAGTTCATTTAAGACCTAGTGTGAGACTTTCATGTCCATGATGAGTCCATGTAAACTTCACAACGGAACTGCATGATACTTTGTAAGGAAATCTCAGGTACAAAAGCTACTGAAATCCCAGCATTTTTCATAGGGCACCTTTGTGGGAGGACAGAGGTGGTTTCCCATTGCTGAAATGCAGGTCTTGTTTCACTGATGCATTCAGAGAGAGTGGCAGAGGTCAGAGGGAGTTACACAGTCCTGCAGGTGAGTGCATGAATCATTGAGTGGGGGTTTTCACTTAAAAGTATTTGTGTGTATGTCTTATTTCCAATAGGAAATATGAAGGGAATCTTTTCTGATTTTGATGTCACAGTGGATTCCTTCACGTGTGGCAGCTTGCGTCATTCTTTGTGTGCATTCGAACAGGCTTGTCTGTGATTCGTCCAGTGATTCAGTGTGAGGAAGAGGAGTACGTGGCAGATATGTTGACCTGGTTATCATGCTATGCAGCGCCTGGAAGAGAGGAGACTGGCTGATGCATGACTTAGATTTTGAGGTGCCAATCGAGCTGCGAAGCTGGGAATTGAGTAGGGAAATGGGAATAGCCCCCTTGCTGGTTCCTAACCCTTGCAGTGTTGTTTGGAGTTTGCATTTATCAATCATTCTAGCAAAACAAGTGCACGTGTGTGTGTGTTTGTGTGTGTAGAATGTGTTTGCCCCAGCGTTATATTTTATTACAGGGATCATCTTTTCTTTATGTCTGTGGCTATAATTGCGTCTGTGGGATGTTTTTTATGACAGCGTGTCACACGTGTCTCCAAGCTCTGGAACTGAATTAAATTAACCCAAATAAAGCCTGGTGTGTGGAGTACGGAGCACTTTAAAGGTAACAGCTGAAAGACAGCCGACGACTAAAAAGCAGGAAGGATGAGCTCTGGTTAAGCATTGCAGGATTATTCCACAGTATTAAAAGAAAGAAAACCTAAAACTTGTGAGCATTTTTGAATGTCAAACGCAGCTGCTAATGTACCGTGCCCCTCCTTCAAGGCTTTTGGGGTTGGAGCCAGTTCTCAGATCTTTGGCCGGCCTAGATAGCAGCAGCAGCAGCAGCAGTGGCAACAGCAGCAGCACCCATTAATGCGATTACAGCTTTTAGTGAGAGATTTTCAGGGCCAATTTTCTTCCGAGGCGTCATTAGTTTGTCCTGTTTTCTTTCTCCCTGTTGGTATGTCCGCAAACAAGAATATACACAATCACTCCCAGCATCTGCCATGGGCATCACACAGAATGAAACGCACACAAGTCATTCCACACATGAATATACAATTACACATGCAAGCATATAGCCTTCAGTACCACGCTCCATCCATACAGGCAAGCCAAACCTAATTTACATTTGCAAAAACACAAAAGAGCCATAAAATCTCACCATGAAGCATCTCCTCAAGCTTTTGTTTCCTCCGTTCCACCGCCGTTTTCCCACGCACACAAACCCAACCTTTGTTTCTATCTGTTGACAGCATGACACTTTGGGAAACACACTCTCACTCACTCTGTGTTGTAAACAATCTTACTATGGTGACAGAAAATTTATCTCCTGGCTCCTTTATGTTTATTCCCTAACATTTTTTTTTTCATTTTAAGTATCTACGCTGCCTTACAAAAGTATTCAAATGTTTTTCACATTTTGTCACAATGCAACTAAAAACAGCAGTGTATAATTTTAGTTAGTGCACATGTGGAATTGAAGCAACATGATAGATTTGATGCAGATGAAATGTGTGTGGTCTGGATTTGTATTTATGCCCCTTACATTAATACCTTCTATGTCGTGACGTTTTGGGTATGTCTCTACCTCTGTCCCGGCTCCAAGTCTTTTTTGCCCTCCAACGGGTATTCTTCCATAATTACCCTGTGATTCGCTCCACTTCCCCATCAACTCTAAAGGCTCCAGTACTCATACTAGGCATTATACTGTCATTTTGTTTGTCCCAATGTCAAGGAATAGCTTGTGTTAAGAAATTATAAGTTGTTCTTTAGTACCAGTAGCAGTACTTCTTATTATGCTTTTTAAGAACCTTTTGATTACTGATGCAAGATGCCCATTATAATATGAAACCCTCTCTCATTATTCTGTGTAATCAAATAATGATTCCTCAAAAACCCATGTCTAATTTAAAACCCAGAGTTCTCATCTTCTTAGATGTGCATTGCCATTACTTCTGGCTTTCATCTTTAGCAGGTTCTCATCTGCCATGCTGAACGTGTCGCTGACTTCTACTTAACAAACCTTGAGGTGCTTCTTAACACTTCAGCGCGGCAGCTTTATTTCATAAAGTCACCATTTATTAAACCTCAAGGCTAGGTCCCAGCAAAAGCCTATTGAGATATTGAGGTCATCTTATGGGAAGAAGGAATAAAAGATTATCAAAGATTGACCGAGCACATGAGCCAGCATATTCAGCGTCCTGTTTTGCTTCAGCAAAGTTAGAATAAAGAGTGCCACCTGTCCTACAGGGGGAGCTACCGTCTTTTGGCATACAACATCACACCCATCTTATGAATGTTTTGTCTCTAATTGTTTGCAGTCCAATGAATTTTAGCACAGAATTTATGCCAACTATTTAAATCTTTTCACTTTTTTTTTTTTGCCTGACTAAGACACTCAGAGATGCCAACTTTGTTTTTCCACTTCAGCTAATGGCTTCCAGGATGTGTTTGTTCTTGTGAGAGTTGGTGATACAGTATATGTTTGTGCTTTCCCGTGCGTGTGCTCCAGTTCTGTGTGTGTATTGGTAGGCAGGATGAGCATCCCTTCTGTTACCGTTGCTGTCCCTTCATTTCACGCTCCGGCAGCTCCGCGTGAATCCTCTTCCCTTGGCTCATTATCAGTGCTGTTCAATGAACGCACATCCCACCAGAATGCTGGGTAAAACCAAATTATTATTCAAGAACGGGGGTCAGTGCAGACGTTACGGCTCTCTTTTTGTTTTGTGTAGCTATTACTTTTCCTTCAGAAGTAAGTGAGCAGGATGCAGGACACATCGGTACTGCAGATTACTTGCTGAGGTATTGAATCTTGAAGCACCTGAGCTGAGATTGATGAGCAGCCGCGGAGCGTCTGGTGTCATTATTGGATGCTCATTGCACTCTTCTCTCATTTCTCTTGGCAGGGTCCGATGTGCTCGGAGCAGAATTCGGCCACCTGCCGGACAATATTACAGTGTTGGAAGGCGAAAGCGTCACTTTGAGGTAACTCCTGATCCTACACCTGCACCAACTGATTACATAAAAAAAACATGCTTGCCCTTCTACCGCCTGTCATGCATCTTTAATTGCCAAGTCTGTGTCTCATAACTTCGATTAAAAGTCCTAAAATGTAAAAAAAAAAAAACATTTGCTCTGTCTGTGTGGCTAATTGAATAGTATTAAAATTTTACATTCAAGTGCCAACTTGATTTATAGGCAACACTAAAGTGCAAAGATGTGCTGAATGGCTTGAAATAAATGCATCTTACACCTCCTGTAAGATGCATTTATCATACTAGTTGGATAGACTATCCACCCTCCACCTCCACCCTCAGATCACCGACTTGCTCTTCAGCATTTTTTCATTTTTTATTTTTTTTTTGGTTTGAACACTAGTCATCTACATTCTTAAATCTGTCAGACACTATCTTTTTTCATGCAGCAGCTAAGGCTAATGTAAGAAATTAGAGTTGATTCCCTTCTTGGCTTTGACTTGTATCTGATCAGTCTCTCCTCCCTGCTTCTTTTATTTAAGAAATATTTCTAACATATGGTCTCTGGAGTGGATCTCGGGAACATTTATTAAGCATTTCTGTTATCACACTTCTACTCAGATCATCAGTTTTATCTGCAATCCATTCAGAACACAGCAACCAGAATTCTCTCCAAGTTTAATAAATGCACTCAAATCACTTCAGATTTTACTATCTTCACTGGGTCCCAGAGGATTAAAACACCTGGATTCACCTACAGGGCCCTAACCCCATAACCCTTACCCTATATCTCATAATAATATATGTTGTTTGTTTTAACCACAAACAGAGCTAGTTGTTTCTTTTTGTGCCAAGCCTTGGATATCCTGGTTTTTCCTCTGATTAGATTAAAAACCAAAGTGAGGCTGAGCCTTTCAGTCTGCGCTAAGCTGGGGAACAGTTTGACCCTGAAACCACAATCTTATACTGTGTGCTATGCACATTTATTCTCTGTACTCACCGTGACATGCCAAATGCTCAGAGCGACTCAAAGTGCAATTCTGATCTACTTTTTAACTAGGCAAACTAATATTTGTTTGACCACTTGGGGATGCTGATAGACTATGAGCTTTCATCTCCAGCTTATAAAGTCTTCCAAGGAAACAAAAGAAGATTGTGACAACAAGACAAATGTAATTTCTCTTACCTGATGCAGTGGAACACAACAATATTCAGTACAAGCAAGTTGACATGACAGGACTTAACGCTCCACATAATTTTATTTCCACATGTTTAATGCATTTAAGACTTGTTTTTAGGTATGCCAACATGCATAGCAAGCAAGATAAAAAAAAAATACGACAGCAGCTTCACCATCCTGATCACGGCCAAACTCAATTTGTGAGAATAACTTACAGTGCAAGATGTACTCATCTTGCACTGTGTAATATTTGTACCTTAGGGAAGATTTCATAAAATGCCAATAGTGATTTCATCAAAAAACTATTTTCTCATCTCTGGATACCTTTTCCTTAAATAAATAGTTGGATTTTGTTTTAGTGTGATACGATGCTACTGCCATAACAAATAATTTATTTTAGAGTGTTTGGCCCATCTTTTTCAGAGCAGTCAATAAATTTGTCCTTGTCCATGGATGGGTGAACAGCCTCTCTGTCCAAGCCACACCTGTCTTACTGTGCGTGATAAAGTAGAAATCACAGCTTTCCCTGACTTCCAACTGAGGGGAGGAAAAGAGCCAACTTGCTTTTTTCCCCCTGGCTGTGACCTGGCTTGGCAGTACACTCAGCAATACCAAAAAGACCTCAGTCAACATTACTTAAATCACCTTTGAGTCTTCACATCTCTAACAAATATGAACAAATTTGTCTTTTAGTACCAGGCTTTTTCCCTTGAAAGAAGAGTCGACCTTACTTGAAAATCAAACATGTTGTTGTGAAGCCAAGTACAATTCTGTCAATATTTGTCAGCATCAGCAAGTCTCCACCAAAGTTGGAAATCAAAGAAGCAAGATCTATATTGTCATCAGGACATGAAGCCTGAAGCTGCTTTATTGATGTTGTGAAGTCAAATACATGAAGTTTATTTTAAGCGAAAGCCAAACTTAGGCAACAAAATCTGCTGTCAGTGTGACTTCTTTCTCTTTCGTTCCAAGTTATTCTTACGTTTTCAATGACTTTATTATCACACGTAAACTACATTTCCAGAGTTGATGACTGTGACATGGATTAATCAGCGCAACTTGTAATGAAAACATATCTGCTTGGTTATGGTCTATGTTGGTCAGTGCATAGCTGTTAAACAAAAGACTTAACTGCTTTATTTTCATGCAAATTGCTTATGCCCAAGTGGCACAAATACTTGTGTTATGCCTAAGACAATGCTGTTGTGTTGGCTTTGATGCGGCCCATTAAGATGAGGCTCAGTTGATGTTATTATGATGCTCATTTCCTCTGGGCATACATTCTCATTGCAACAGCATCAGTGCAGAAGTGATTAATTTTAAAAATAGATTATTAGACGATGTGTGTACATAGATAATGCATTTTTATGGAGGGATTTATCACTAGATTGTCTCTCCATTTAAACCCACAAGCTACAAACAGTGCACTAATCTTTATGAGTAGGATAAGAACGCTGTGCTTTTAGGTCTCATGTCGACCTGAACATCAGATCAGTGCCTTGCAGTCTGTTTGTTGTGCTCTGGTTGTTACGCATTGTGTCACTGCTTGTAAGTTGGCGAGTGATCTACCTCAGAGATATTTATCCAGGTCATATCAATTAAACATGAGGACTTCAGAATGCTGGTTTCTTACTAGTTGAAGCTGGTTAAGGACATCTAGTGGCCAAGCTAAGCACTAGATGTCAAAGCTTTGGCATTTGTGTCAGGCTGCGCACAACAACACAAAAGCAAATTACAGAGCTCCAGCAAAAAGTGCCATATTACTTCTCATTGTTTGACAGATTTTTCAATTTATTGCTGTTAACTTTAATTTAGGGAGCAAAACTACTTTCTTGAATTGTAGACCAAATAGGTTTTCTAAGTTTGCTTCCCGACAAAACAAATTACTAAGCCGCGAATAATGTTATACAGCCTCTTCTCATGCAATGTGTTGCTCACAAGCTGTTTTCTGACATATGACTGATCTTAGACAGCCGAATGTGTTATCACTCCAATCCCTTTTCTCCAGGAATGCAGCATAAAACGTTTGAGTGCATTGCAGAATAGCTAAAGACAAATTAAAGAACAAAGGTTGCAAAAAAAATTAGCTAGACAAAGCAATGCTGATTCAGCAGATAGGGTCATTGAATAGTTTGATGGGAATGATAATGAGGTAAATGATGTGCTGTTGCCTTTGCAGTCACAGCATTTTTTTTTTCTTAAATGAACAGAGAGCGCTCGCTCATTCTCATCGAAACAGCAGCAACAGAAGGGTTATTTTTAGAAGAATGGAGGTCGGGTTCTTCTGTAATGCTAAAAAGTTTTGCAGAAAGCTGTCCAAGCATGCAGTATAAACACAATCTGTTTCATGCAGCTCCTGACATTTTTCTCGTGTCACAACTGCAAACTTTTAATGTATTCTAGCGTTGCTTTATGTAATAGACCAACACAAAGTTGAACACAATCGTGAAGTGGGAAGAAACTGTATTTTTTGTAATAAAACTCGTGAAGAACTCATGGAGCATTTTCTGCACATAGAAAGACTGCAGCTCAACTCACTTATTACCAGAGAAGTAATTGTGGCACGCTGCAGAGAGCTGCACCTCAGGTGGGACCATCTGTGGACGGGATAACTTATTTTTTATGCACTCCAAAACTCTGGGCTTTATAGATGAATGATAAGAAGAAAACCAGTGATGAAAGGGGCCACATTATGATCATGATGCTTTTCATCAACAGGAACAGAAAACCTGGTCACAGATATGGGGGGTAAATATTAAGCAGTCTTAAAAGATAACATGTTAAATGGAGTTAAAGTCCAGGCCTAAGTTCAATTGGCAATCTGTGCCCAGACTTGAAAGTTGACATTCAAACATTTCCTCCTGTTATTCTGACTGAAGTTGAATTATTTTGCAAAGGACAAACAAAAAAAAAAAATAAAAAAAAAAACAGTCTCTATTAATAGGTGTGATAAATATACCCAAAGAAGACGTGTAGCTTCAACTGCAGTAAAAGTTAAAATACCAAGTATTGGCTCAGGTGTGCTGCATGTATATGCACATTACACATACTGTATTTTTGCTGTTGAAGATTTAGAAAAGCATGTGTTCTTAAACTAACACTTAATAATCGTGCTTGTCTATCGAGTACAATTCCAATATAATACATATTAATACATAGTTCATATTTGAGGCTTGTGGTTTTAATGTGAAAAAACACGTAGATTGTCATTTGGTATATATTCTTCTGCAAGTCATGTTTTATTTACTCAATTCAAATTAGAATGGTCAAATAGCTCAAATATTGTTTTATATACAAAAAAGCAACCTATATATACAATATATTTGTTTATATATTTGTTTATCCTCTGAAGCTTTGACTATGTACAGCATGTTTAGCAAGAAAGGTAATCATTTTGCTGCTAGATGTTATGTTTTGAAATGAAAATCCTGCCACTTATAAATCACACTATGCTGTCTAACAGATGTCGGATCGACGAGGAGGTGACCCACAAAGCTTGGCTGAACCGCTCAAACATCCTTTTCACGGGGACAGATAAGTGGTCCCTGGACAAGAGAGTGACGCTGGTCAACACCAGCAACAGGGAGTTCTCCATCCTCATCGACAAGGTGCAAGTAACAGACGAGGGACCGTACACCTGCACCTTTCAGGCCAACAACAAACCCCGCATCACCCACGTCTACCTCATAGTCCAAGGTCAGCAGCTGAGATGTGACAACTGAATTTTAATGTGTGGCAGTTAAATGCAATGAATGATTAACTGACTGATGCATCCGGAGTCTGCATTTTTATACGTGTGCTGCAATTTTAGACATTAGCTATGCAAATATAGTGCAGAAGAAAAGTTTATCATGCACTCATTGTTAGCAAGAACGTGATTAATGTCTGACTCTTAAGAATGCATTTGAAATTATCTTTGTTTCAAGATGGAATTCATTTATTACAGATTTTTTTCTATTATTTGAAAACGTGTGAAATAAAGTCAAGATATACACATACCAACCCATTAGTATCTGATCAAATGTCCCTCAGCAAGTTATCGACAAACAACTCAGCATTTATGACCAGACTTATCAGCAATCGTAAAGTTTTTTTTACAGGAAAGGATTGATCTTTTGTGAATAGTTCACACGTTTTAGTAGGGTTTAGTAGGGCTGAAGTCTGCATCACTGTAGAAGTTAATTGTTAGCCTGCTTTATCTATCCTAAAACCTGTTTTGATGAGTGTTTGGGATTCATGTTTTCAGCATCTTGGCAATGAGCGAAAGTTAAGTTGCAGAATTTAGATGTGGCCATCTTTCTTCATTATGTCAACTACTTCCACCGTTATAAATGACATCTAAACCAGCACACAGTACAATAAACTGCCCTCATGCTTGACAGATGACACAGTATTTGTAAGTTTGAAATCCCAAGCTTTACTTCTTAAAGTCAGTCAGTGTAACTGCTGAGTGTAAAGGAAACACATGATTGTTTTTTAGATGGAAAACTGCTTTAAGCTTCCTGATCTTTATCTCAACCTTATTGAAAATCTTCAAACTGCACGTGAAAGTCAGGTCAGGACGAGAAAAATAAGCTTTCTGATAATAGTATTCAAATGTCCTGCCAGAAATATGTCAGAAGTTTGCTAATAGCTTCTAAAAGTGTGTGGTCAAGCTCCAACCTGATAAGGAATGTTTAACAAAAATTAGATGTATTGATTTATTCATGTAAGCTTGTACGTAACATTTTGTAATCAGTATTTCAAATGTATCTGAATTATTATAAAAATTCATGCCAAAGGAAGTATTTCAACTAAACTAAACTAGAAATGGTATTATTGATAGAGATTGCTATGATACAAATATTTAGGTTATAATTACAGCACAGCAGGTGACAGGGAACATGAAGGCGTCCTGCAGAAGAACTTAAATGCATTTCTTATTTCATTCCTAGAGCCTGCTATATTTCCATTAACCGTAAACAGAATTTTGGGCATGCCACGAATGAATGAGCATCTGTGTTGAGTAGATTAAATGCACAGGAGGCAGTCCAACTGTCTGACTAAATACAGCGACTGTCAACGTAGGCTCATGACTGAGGCTCAGTCATCACGTCAGCAACTCAGTGTAGTGAAACTGACTGATCTTGAGTGACACAAAATATTGATGCAGGTCTGCCGGGAGGGCCTCACACCCCCTATTTACAGTTTATGGTCTGGTAAATTCCTATGTTCATATAATAGTTATCCATTACCAGCAGAATAAAACTACTGATACCTGTATTAGCTACATTTTGCTTAAATATAAATGATAAGGGTTGGTCACAGGTGAATCCACTTTACTAACACATTTAAAAGCAGCGATGTCTGCAGGATCTGAAAGCTGGCAAGGATGACTGTTTATGTTCAGTTCCAAGTTGCCTCCAATTGAAGTCAGAGCTTGGTGGTACACAAAATAATTATACCCCCGAGCAGTAGCATCACTGCAATCTGTGCTTTATCTCTGCAAGCTTTCCACTCCAGAAAGACATAACATGAAAATCCTCAGTTGATGCTACAAATTTCTGAGCCAAGCTCATTAAAAATAATGATACGTGGTCATTTAAATTCAAGGTCCATCATGATATCAGACTAAGAACATATGTAGTGCACCAGTACTTTGAGTTTAGGGTCATTATGTTAAAGGCATACAAGAAAAAAAAAATCCTCCAACAAGTGAGTAACCTAATAGATGTTCTTTCCAGCTAGGGATGAAATGAGATCAAGTGTTAGAAGGAGGGCATTTTAATGTTCATTCGCAGGAGCTTAAAGATCTATTGCATTTTAAGTAGATGGTCGACCATATTGTTGCACAGTTCAGTAAGCACCCAGGCTCAGATCATTAATCAGCTGATTGCCTGTCTGTCTGAAACGCAAAAGACCTTAACACCTTTATAAACTGCAAGGCCAAACCTTATCAATAATTTATGAGAGTGAAAGGTGATTTTGAGGTCGGCTTCTAATGGTGAAATCTTGTTTTTTTCAGTGCCAGCAAGAATCGTAAACATCTCAAAAAGCGTGTCAGTGAATGAGGGAGAGAATGTAAACCTTTATTGTCTGGCAGTCGGCCGGCCAGAGCCCACGGTCACATGGAAGGACCAGAAATGTAAGCTACTGATTCTTGTTTTCTTATTGTCACTTCCAGATATCTTATGTTAACACCCTTGCCTTTATCTCCCAGTCTATACGCTCATCCCTGTCCATATTCTGCCAGCTGAAGTCTATCCATGCTTTCTTTTCCAACCTGCAGGCTTATCAGCATTCAGCTTGTGTCCATCTCTTTATCCTTTGTCCCTGTGTCATCTCTCTTAAATCTAACTGTTTATTCTGTCCCCTGCCTAAATCATTTTGCGTTTCTCCTAATGTTTTGTCCTGAATACCCGCACATTACACCTAATTATTCCCACTGCACCACCTATAATTGTCGACATCTGTCTTCATCCACCCTTGCAGCCTGCACCGCACTGACCGCACGGCTACTTTGGGCTTCAAATCTGACCATTTTTGCTTCTGGATGCGTTTGAATTCATAATTCTTGATATCATGAGTGCAGTTTTTGTAGTGTACAAGTTCACATCTTTGTTGTTATCAGTTCAGACTGAGACAAAACAATCTTTGCGTTGCCTCTGGAAAGTGTCAAGTGTAAAGACGTTACATCTCTAATTGGGAGCACTGATTTTATAGCAAAGACAAAAATGAAAGGATCTGTTTCTATACTCCGGCTTCCTCTTACAGTATAAAAACATGACTGTTAGGTTTAATGTTCCTCGGTTTTAAGCTGTACAAAATTGAAATATTAAGCTTTGGATAGAGTGATATCTGATTCTGGTATTTACGTATAACAAGAGGATTCTGATTTGAACATGTGACGTATTTAATGGACACAATGTTTTCTATGTATCTCTTAGTCATTCAGCTCACCTAGGCGTACAAATTGCTATCTCTTTAGTGTTTTGAAGAGCTCTAGCATTTAAACCATAGATCCAATTGATCCCACCCGGTAAGAAGAATGTCTGTTTTTAATCTGTACCATTTTTATTATGTCGTTTTCTGCTCTTTTACATTTTTGTGCTACTTTATGTATTGCACTTTGTTCGACAACATTAAGGCAAACCATATTTGATATTAGTTTTATTGCATTATGTTTCCAGCAGTGTTCACCCTCACACTGTCTACTGCTGGATGATGTTTTGCTTTAAAAGTTGTTTTGTAGATAATAAGCAGCAGCAGGATAGTAATAACAAATAGGTCAGTGTGAACAACTACTGAAACATACAGTAATTATACTGCAGGGCAAATATATTCACAAACAACTGTAATGGTGTATGTACAGTCAGCTATAGGCTTGCTCAAAGGTCGGATCCCCCTCCTCTCCTGTGTTCCTACCTGTGTTTGCCCTTCTTTGCACAAGTATTGTTTGTGATGCTGCACAGTCGAGTACAGTACCTCGGGCAGGGACAAGCCCAGTGGAGATCATACACACCCACAGAAACACAGAAGTAAACAGGAGAAAAGGAAGGCACGCATGAGTGCACACCTGCAACAAACACACACAGACACAACTCCGCATCACAAACTCTGTGCGGTTGTCCTCACTTGAAAGCCTACAGCATTTCTCCTCTGTCAGCAGTAATCCTCCCTCTCTAGCCGCCCCCATCATCTCGTCCTCCCTCCCTTCCTCTACCCCCTCATAACCCCTCAGCGAGCAGAGAATGAGATAGCGCCCACATTGCTATTCCATGGGAGTTTCTACAACCAAGCCATCAGTTGTAGGAGACCAGGGGTTGGTGTAGATAGGGGATGGGGGGGTTGTTGAGCCCAAAGAAACAGCAAGAAGCTGCTAGCCATCTGTCCCCATTACTCAGAGGCTGCAGAGAAAAACTGCAGGGAGGGCATTCTGGAGAAGAACCTAAGTTGGATGGAGCGTGTGTGTGTGTGTGTGTGTGTGCGTGTGTGTTGATGTGTGAATTTACACCAGGAGGCTGTGGATTAGGAGGAGCCGGAGGACCTCAGAGGTCACAGGCACCTGCGTAAAGTCGCTGAAACCTTCGGAGTGTGTCTGCAGTTTCCTGAGATCGTACCTGCATGCTGCAGTGAGACTGTGCTGCACCATTATTTTCAGGTGCCGCCTTCTTTATCTTAGCCGAAACACAGATGTGATCTTTGACTCACCCAAACATGAGCTCCATCATTTACCCACACAGCAAAAAACTTGGGGTTTCGTCAAATAGAGCCTCGGATACAATCATTTAAAATAGAAAGACTTAACCTGAACATGCTGCATGTCAAGGAAGGTGGTGGGAGGATGAGACATGAGCTTCTAAATCAAACTAAAATGTAAATAATCAATTTATTTTAAAAAAAATGATTCTTTTCAGAGTTTAAAGGCAGAAGAAACCAAAGACACACCTTCAGTCAATGAGTCACTCAGCCAGCTATGGTTGTATCCAGTTTATTAATAAGTATTTCACAATTTCTGATTATCTTTAAGCTTCATATTCATAGTGAATAGCATTTTGTTATGTTAAAAACTAACTTCAATGATGCCTATAAAGAGGTCAGTGGTATTACATTAAATGCCTTGGGTGCTATTCTAGTGCAGAGAAAAAGCAGGAACAGCAGAGGTCAGATCTGGATAAGGCAAACTTTTTTGCAGATTTATTTTATTTTACTTTATTTTTTTCAAAAATAGTTAAAAAGAACCAAAGTTCCCTTTTTCATCACAAAAGATATTTCAGAAGATTTTTGCCAGGGGGCTAGCTTTCATTCATCTACGCCAACTTGAATTTTCTTTGAGAAGCTACCAAAAGAAAAATCTTCCTTCTAAATCAAGTATGTGAATTTCAAAGTTCATAAGCAAATGTGGTGAAATACTGACAAGAAAAGCAGCCAAGAGATCTCAAGGAAGCACAAAAAGCTCATAGACATAAGAGACTTTTTTTTACACTTAAAATGAATTCAACTCTTTCATGCAAGATCCCTGAACTGGGGCTCATATAACCTGTGTAAAACAGATCAGCGTATACCAGCCTCTCTGTTCATGGCAGCAGATGTGGGACAAGTGTATTGCTCTTTACTTTGGCACAGTGTTGGTGTTAATGTCTGACCCTTTTTTATATTTTACTTTATCACTGGTACTTACACACTTGTTTGTTTGTCTTGAGTTATAAAACCCATCATGGTTTCCACTAGTAACCTTAGTACGTCAGTGCACTTTGAACTGCAGGTAATTACCTCAGGCAAAATCTTGTTTATTGTTCATAGAAGGATTTGTGATAAAACACTAAATGTTTTGACAGGCCAAAGGTGTCACTGCCTGTATTGGACAGCCAAACAAGTGCGGATTAATACTGGAGATATTTTTGTTGGAGTTAAAATCAGTGGAAAAATGGTTATTGGCATTTTTGTTTTGTTGCTGGCGTCTCCTGGGACTGACTCCGTCTGCATGACAAAATATGTAAAGCTTAATATGTTGTTTTTTTTTTTGTTATCATGATAGCAGTTAGACACTTAATGCTGTGTCCTTTTATTGCAAGTTTGCAAAAATTTTACTGTATTTTAATTTTGTTTTTTTCTGGAAAAAAAAAATAAAAACTGTGTATGTACTCTCTTGTCCTAAAAGGAGGCTCATCCGGGTTGCCTGTTTGCTTCATCTGCTTTCTCTCATTTATATTATTTTATATTAATCGTTATTTATGATTGTTGTTGTTATAGACTCCAATTAACAGCACCTGTTTCCTCAGTTTTACATAAATCTCTTCTGAGTTTCTATAACTGGATATGAATACCGTTTTCTGAATCTAAATTTGAATTAAAATGTGGTGACAACACATACTAGGATTTATAGGTCCGATGCACAAATGATAAATGATTTACAGTCATAAAAGTGTTTTACCAAAACTTCCAAACAAGAGTTATGACTTTGTGAAACTTTGTTTTTATCAAGGGAATAAATTGCCTCCCGCTTGGTCTCAGCACACTATTTTTCAATTTTAATACATAATGTACCAAAAATCTTCTACAGCAAGTTTTGCATAAGTCAACTCTGCAAAGGTGCAGACCGAGACTGCTTCCCTCTCACTTTTGTTAGAGCAATTATTTTCAGCTGAGACAATGATGTATCTTGATTACTGTTTCCCTAATCAATCTAAGTGATGAATTTCAGCTCTCACTTTATTACAGTGATAATGATAAATGTTCTCAAAATGCAGTTAAAGTCCCCAAATCAGTCTGCAGAACGCTAATCAACAAGTCAGTTTACCAATCCTTACCTAATTTAATTGTTTTGATGAAATTATTTGTAAAAACATGTTCCTAAGCATTTTAAATTGTTTTTAAAAAATGCAGTTTAGCTGTTTAGAGTTGCTAAATTACTGAAATACAGTGGCGATTGTCACATTCGAAAGTTCACCTTTTAATCTGAGTACACTTTCTTACATGAAAAAAAATAGATTTAACTGAAGTAAATTTACTTGATGCTTTTTAAAGTTGAAAGTTTTCTAAACTTTGCTGCAGACATCGTAAATCCAAGGCAAGTGGCCCATAGCTGGGCTTCACATAATTATATCCAATGTACAAGGTAATGCCATATATATTTTATTAAAGACCCACCTACTGTGAATTATGGCGGAGGATCCATGATGGGCTTTTTCATCTTTTTAATGTTCTATTAACCTAGATATGATACTGTGGTTTCCTGGGAATACAACATTTTGAATTAAAATCTGGCAACCTCTGGCAGAAACCTGAGATTAAGTCATAATTTTGTATCAATACAATATTGACAGAAAAATTTTGCCAAAGCAGCAGTTGATAACCAAACAACAAAATCAAACTGCTTCCATGGTCTATAGGGGTAGGATTAGGGTCAGAGACCAGATTTAAATCCTGTTGGGACTCAGGACTCCTTATGAACTAGAAAGATCGTGCAAAAAGAAATGGTCAAATATGACTCTTTTTTACCTGTTCAAAGTCCATATTTTGCAAAGGACTAACATTTGTCTGGCTTGCAAAAATTGAGTATCTAAAGTATTGACAGTCTGGGTGCTAATGATGAGAAATAAGTGTGCTCAAATGAAAGGTTGGGTTTTTCTGAAGGTTTTTAGTGTAAGCTTATATTTTTTGCAATCAAAACCTTATTTACCGATGATTAATTTACACTAGACCCAATAAATCAGGTCAGCACTGTAGTAGCAATCACCAAATTGTTCACAAAAATAGGCAAACATAAGTCCTCCGTTTCAGAGTTCCTAATAAAATAAATTTTAGTCTCCCCATTATTCTCTTTGTCAACCTAACTACAGTCCTCTTTGCCATCACTGTAGTTTTTGTAATGGAAACGGATCAGAGAAGCCCAGAAATCAAGCACGCTGAAGATCCACTCAGACTTTCAGTGCCGTCGAAAAATAGAGCACCATTTTACTGCTGGGGAAAGCCAAGCGACCTGATCCTTTCCCCCATTTTTGTTCATTCACACTCCTCCCTCTCCCTCTCCTCCAAGGTGGAATCCAATTATCTCTGGTGGTCAGGAGTTAGGCTCCTTCAAAAGCCTTAAGTGGTTGATGGAGCTGTATTTTACTGACCATTGTAGGAGTGCCAGAGGCCGTCTACTAAGATATGATCACCCGCCAAAGTGCAAAGAAGTGTGCAAGGCATGTTCGCAGATCTCAGGGGATGGAGCAAGAGAGGGGCTGTCATATTACATCATACAGTCTGTAGGAGCTGTCGATGAATTGTCAGTGAAAAAAGACCAAGCATATCAAAAACCCAACTTGACACGTTACCGTTCTCCTCTGTGTGGCTTTTTTTTTTTTTTTTCCATCCTACTCACCTTTCATCTCTGCGTCTTCTTCCAGGCGTTGCATATTATCGGTCCTTATGACCGATAAAGACCGATGATGCAATGTAATATTTAGCACTTGTTTACTCCAATGTGTCATTTAATTTGTCATCTTTATTTCTTACAACTCCTCTGTTAATGTTGTCAGTTTACAGTGACTCAGAAAAATCTTCATGGCTTGTTAAAATGCCAGATTTATTTGTTTACTGGTTTTCTAAATGTGACATTAATTAAAAGAATAAATAATTACCAACTTTTTCAACTTTAATGTCACTAATAAGAACAGTGACATTTATTGGGTTGAAGAATAACAACTGAAGAACTAAAGCAAAGTGGTTGCGTTAATATGAACACATTTAAGCTCCTGCTTTTTCAATCACCGTTTACTGTTAACACAATAGTCGTTTCTCCAGCAGGAGTCAATGAGAATAACACATCTTGGCATATTTGTCTAAACGCTGCAAAAAAATCTTCAGATTTGCCAGATTTCGAGGGCATTTATCTGACTTTAGATCATTAGTTTCCTAAAGGTTTCGAGCTGAATTGCGTAGGTTGTAGGTCACATTGAAGGAAGAGAGATGCTCTGCAGTGATTTGACTTGTCATATATTTTTTTTTTTTTTTTTGCCATTTTAAAAGTGTACTGACTTTTTATACTGTCTTTGCCTGCTTAAAAAAGATGTCACAAGAGACCCGCGGTGTGCTTTGTTCACAAATGGAATGAGTGAATAACATTGCAACCACCCGACCGCAACACTTAGCGTCTGCCTGCCATCTCTTGGGTGGCACATGCAGTCGTCATAGTGTCGGCGTTCTCCGCTCAGCCACGATGGATCGTCTCCAGCTCAGTAGCCTCACTAATAATCCTCCAGCATAATCTTCAATTAGAAGCGCAGCGCTAATCTCTGACAGGAATAATTGTAGCGTTTAGTGTCTTTTTGGTGGTGTTCTTAAATTTCCTGCTGCAGAGTTCATGATGGGAGCTAAAGGTCTACAGACTGACAGTAGATTGGTGGGATTTTGTTTGTTTGTTTGTATTCCTTAGAGGAGGGTTCACATGGAAAAGTAAGTAGCAAATTAATAGCTGGATTTCCTTGTTAACTGTGAGGTTATATGTTATGCTGTGTCACACAGTCTGGCTTCTTTAATTGGTTAAAGAGGAAGAAAAAATAGGCCTGATGGTTTTAAGGGCTAAGAGACAGCTGGCTGCTATGGCTGACTGGATGGAACGAGTGCACCGTCAGTCTCGTCCTTCTTTGTTTTTTCCTGTCTCTGTCTCTGTCACTCTCGAGCCAATAACATCAATTCCCCCCACATGAAGGAGCAATAACTTGCAGTCTATTCCCTCGACTCTCCACCTCTGAAGAGATGTTCGTCGCCCGAGGAAAAGTGCTAGACTGACTAATTTGGTTTTAGCTGCACCTGGGAGTTTGTCAACATCAAACAACCGCCAAATATTCTTCTCACCATGTAATGTGGCAAATTAGCTATTACACCCCGGCTCATCCAGTTGTTTGTTGAAAAGTGTCCAAGTTCCCCTGGCATTTCAAAAGTAATAGTGCCGCGTACGTCAGAGGGTGTTAGTTTCTCTACGTGAACCAGTGCAGTTATTTTCTGTTGCTGTCGAACCGGCCACTGGCAAAAACTGCAGTATGATCAATTTTTCTTCACTACAAATGTTTCATTAGTGTCTGTTGATAAATTCATTATCATCCGTTTCATCATGTCATTACGGCTTTAATTATCATGATATTGATTTCCACCACATCCCCCATCTTTCTACATCAATATTCCCCGGCAGAATTGAATGATGCTTCATTTGCAGTTATTTGCGTGTTGGCCTTCTGCATGCTCTTAAACTGTCTAAAGCTGGAAGGGCGTGCGCTGTGCTTCGAGTAGTGAGCCGTAAATCTGCAGACCGAGTCGCCTTGCACTTGATGTATTGTGACCTTTGACTTTACCCTTTCTGTAATTAGATGGACTGGTGAGTGAGGGGGAGTTCTTGGATATCACGGAGATCAAGAGGCAGCAGGCTGAGGACTACGAATGCATCACCCACAACGGCGTGGCTCCACCTGACCAGCAGAAGGTCAGAGTCACGGTAAACTGTAAGTACCACTCTGTTTGCAGGACACAAAAGCCCAGTGGTCGTAATCCAGCTCAACCCCATGTGCATAATGATGTATTAATAATATATGTTAATGTTGTGAATGCATTAGTCTCGACACATTTTAATTTCGTTCTCTGTGGGCATTTTTCAACCTTGTATGCAACCCCCATCAGATCTGACTTGATTATTCAGTAAAATGTGGTGTGTACTAATTATTGAATTATCTCTTGCTGATTTTAATTTTCAATTTTTTATTTTTTTTCGCCAGACCCTCCGATGATCACAGACATGAAGAACATGCCTGCAAATCTAGGGAAGACAGCCATCTTGAGGTGTGATGCAATGGCAGTCCCACCAGCTACATTTGAGTGGTACAGAGACGATCACAGGTAAAACTACCAAAGGTTTCAGAGCAAATTGGTCAGGGTTGTTGAGATTATTTCCCTATGACTATATGAAACCACTGTAAAACATTTTAGAGTCTGCATGGATGCATTTTGATAAATACTCTTCATAACCTAATCTAAGTTTTGACACGTCTGACTTTCTGAAACATCTTTCTGGTGGTGACATTGATTAATATTTTACATCTGTTATAAAAATGTATTAAATATATATTTTGCTTGCACTGGAAAGGTTAGTTTTCTACCACACAAAAGATTTTGCCTGTATTCCAAAAAGGGAACTTTTTTGTCTCACGTATTCAGAGCCCCTCCCTGCTCTGCGTCTCCTACACGGCTTGTGGTAAATAGGATTTCTTATGACTTTTGCTCAATAACAGGGTACTTCTCACAGATGCAGATACATAGAGGCCAAATTTGAAAAAGACGCAGCTAAAAGTCAGCCTGTTGGCAAATTCTCCCTCTTTAGCTCCTCCAGTGTTACCATGGGCATACTTTTCCGATCACTGCTTTTCTTGCCCAGCCCGTCAGGACGGCCGTGTCTTGATTGTAGCTGTTTCAAAATCTTTTCATATTGAGATGATGGACTGAACAGTACTCTGAGATGTTAAAATTGGTGCTGCTTTTCAAGATAATCCTGCTTTAAACTGCTCTACACCTTCATTTAATGGTGAAACTTGTCAGATTTATGTTTGTCAATGTCGGAAAAATGCTAAGAGGCTTCAGTTCAATTGATAATGTATAGCTACAATGTTTATGCAACCATATTACACTGCAGTATTTGGACAGCTCATTAATTACTCTTTTATTACATGCAAATTGAAGAAAGAATTGTACTAATGTTATTAGCTAAATGTTAATATATTAAGGCCCTGGCTATAACAAGTAGTTGGGATTATTAGAAGGTTATTAAGAAAAGCTTACAATTATGTAAAATTAAAATTTGTGCTTTTTTTACATTAAATGTAAGACAGTTATGTTTAAGGAGTGTCTCCATATGCCGTTAAGACAGCACCAATGTGTTTGAATAGTTTTCTTCAATGGCCTTTTGCAACACTTGTCTTTTGGGCCTAGTTTTTGTCTTTACAAGAGAGTCACTAAATATGTCAGCAAATTCTTCCCTTAAGGAATTGTGGCTAAAATAGTGTAGAAACAAGCTGGTGACACACAGAGCCTTAATAGGATGAACGCTCAGAAAAATAAAGTTTGTTTGTGATGCTGCCAGGATATAATGTATTCCATCTTAACTCAATATCTAAATGCAAATAAGCCATTATGGATTTCTGTGAAACATCTTTTAGGCATCGAATTTCTCAGAGAGTTAGAATGATGGGTTCAGGAGCCTCAACAGTTCCCTGCTTAATGATGACAGAAAAAGTGACATAGAAAAATGTGAGTGCATTGTTTACTCTGATTGAGAGGCAGGAAGACAGTAAATTAGGTATGCACAGTTAAAGGAGTTATATGAGTTGCTACAAGACTATAGACTGCATTAACTTTGAGTAATAGTCTAATTTCTACCAGATACGTGTTGATTCTGATGAGAATTACTCGTTTTTGATAAAACCACAGAGTTGGTAATTGAAAGGAATGCTTGTCCGTATAATTCAACCTAAACTTTGGTGGACTGAGATGTCAAGCTGACCCAGCACTGGTTTGGTGACCTTGTAAGTAAACAGGATTTTGAGAGGCTCAGTTTGAAAGTTAAGCTTGAGAAGAAATTTGTATTCATGATGTGAGATATTTGGCAAAACTGTAGCATTTATGTAAAACTTGAGTATCAAGAAGGTCTAAAAGCTTAGTAGTTCTGTTTTTTTGTTTGTTTGTTTTATTTTGTGGGGGGTTTTTTGTGTGTGTGTTTTTTGTGTGTTTGTTTTTTTTTTTTTTTGACTCGTGCTGTGTGGTTTCTCTCAGAAAAAAATCCCTGAACCTTATTTCATGTGATAGATTAAGATAAAATAGCAGAGAACAATTAGTCAAGATAAATTAATATGTTGCCTTCAAAAAATAAGTGTATTTGTGATGTGTTCAGCCTGGAAGTCCTGGTTAAAGTTTGCCAGAAGCTGCCTAAGGCCCATAGTAAATCTGGAGCAAGGTGTTCCTCTTGGTGTGTGGCAGGGACATAACACAGCATGTCATCCTGAATGAACCACCCCCACAGTGTAACACAGTGGTGGGAGCATCATGCTGTGGAGATGTTTTTCTTAACCAGGGTCAGGAAAGCTGGTTTGTGTAATAAAACATCTTGCTTTAGTGTTTGCCAGTGTTAAATGGAAAAAAAAAAAAAAACTTCCTCTTAGCTTGTATTGCTAAAAAAAAAAATATATATATATATATATATATATATATATATATATATATATATATATATATATATAAGCCTGATAATGTAGTAGAACAATTTGTAAATCCTCTGAGTTAAGACTTGCAACAAGTTTTGATTTTATTCTGAGATCCAACCTTTGACTTTAGGGGCAAACTGAACCACAGTGTGTTTTGCTATCGGCGCTTGTTCTTGGCTCACTTCTGAGTCGATTCTGAAAATACTCTCCCCTGCACTTCACCTCTGAGTGTTATTTGTCTGAAGCAAAGAATAATATGCTTAAGCTACTCATCCTTATTTGTGCTTATTAGTTCCAAGTTACATCTAATTTGCTTCAAATTAAACTTGTAAACAGTCGATAACAAAACCTCCCATGAGTGGCTCTTTTCAAAATGGGTAAGAAAAGAAAATTTGCCATTCAGCTGAGGCAAAGCTTTTCATAAATCAGGAAATTGCAAGAAAAAAAATAATGACTTATCTAAACCTGGTCATATTTACAGTCGCACCGGTAAAAAAAACCCCAGAACTATGACCAACAAGACTGGACAAGAACATAATACACAGTAGAGCTAGACAAGATTAGAAACTGCTGTAATGGAGAAAATAATGACAAATATTACAATTTTTTTTTCTTTTATTCTCATCTGTGTATCCCACTCTGTTGAACTTTTAGCATTTTGAATGATTTGTCATTTGTGTCCGGTGCTATGAGATTCTGTCCAACTGGCTGAATATTAGTTATTCCACTCTAAACACTCCTTTGTTATGTGAAAATTGCAATGTGTTGGCAATGTATTCGCAATATATGTTGTGTAGCCTTAACAAGGAGAATGGGCAGCAAAAGTCTTGATTGTCACAGCCGTTTACCTTCAGCAACCTTAAACATACTGTTGTTCTATCATATTCAGTAGAATGAAATGAAACAACAGACATAAACATGTGTGATTTGGTATCTGTTGAACAATTATGCGCTAATAGAAATTTAGCTTTCGTTTCAAAATGCAGCATAATAGACTTTTTACAAAGCATTTGTTGTTTAAACACAGTGAGAGTTCAAATGTTGTTACAAAGTAAGATAATTATTAGAGACTATGCTGCAAAACTGTCAAATAACAGAGTAATGTATTCTTCTTGGCAGACTGAGTCAGGAGGTGTGATATTATGCTGGTTTTTCTTTCCGTTTCTCTAAAAAGGACTCAATCGTTCTGTTTTTTTTTTTTTCCTTTTCTTTTCTTTGCTTTTGCGCACACAACCCAGGCCAGTAGAGAATGACAACACCTTACGGATCAAAAACGAGAAGACGCGCTCGCTGTTGCTGTTTACCAATGTGACAGAGAAACATTTTGGCAACTACACTTGCTTCGCCTCAAACCGTCTGGGTTCCTCCAACGCCAGTATGCTGCTGTTTCGTAAGTTATCACACACATCTCACAAACCTAGGTGTGCAAGCGCATCGATTTTTTATTTCCTTTTTTTTTTTTTTTTGCCAAATATGTTCACATTTATCTTTTGTGACTATCCGGAGTTAGACAGGACTGTCTGCTGCAAAAATATTCCAAATCTGTTTTTGCTCTGCACACTGCACAGCCTTCACTGAGCCTTTACACTCCCTTCTTCTTCCCATTTATGTTATTCTCCGCCCCATTAAAGCTTTGCTTGCCTATATTACAGCCTCTTTCTCTTTTTGTGCGCTCACGCTCTCCCCTACCATCGCTCGTCTGTTCGCACACCCGCCTGTACACGTAGACTGTCGCTCTGTTCTGTCCTGTTACCCGAGAAGTTGTCATTTCTCTCAGAGCCCGATTCACATTAACCGTCCCCAATGAGCGATTTCCTACCCTTCCATTTCCCATCACCCTCCTTTTAGTGCGCTTGGCATTACCATCTTAAGTGAGTCCTTCATCTATCCCTTTTCTTCTTCCATTCCTTTCCCCATTATCTCGTCCAGTCTCCCTTCAATGACTCACTCCTCTGCCAGACCCATACATCTTTCTGCTCTCTTTTTCACCGCCACAGTCACTTCTGTCAGCCTATCTCTCAATCATCTGTCCTTCTGCCTCCTTTTTCTTTCCTAATCTTCTCCTGCTATCATTAGAACACAACAAACCCACTTCTTTCCTCAACCAGCAATGGACCATAATCTGAATCCTTTTGTGTGTGTTTTTTTTTGTTCACATTCAGAGCCTCACTGTCTCTACCTCACCTGACTTAATTTGTCTGCTACTATACCTCTTTGTTCACCATTTTAAAGGTACCAAATGCAATATTTCAACACCAGCAACCCCTCAATCATGTCAAAATTGGCACATTATTGTAATTGCTCTCTCTGCCGATGAGTCCATTACATAGACCATTGGCAGTCACTGCTTGCTTTCACGCATAAATCGCCTGCTTTTATCTCTGTAAACTGTAAAACAAGCGACAATATGAATACAAAGGGCTAATTAAGGGTTTGCCGTTTAGCCCTTTAAGTGCTATCCATATCTCTGGTTCAAAAAAAACATGTTACTGCTTACTAGTGACATAAGAAATAATGACTTGCTTTTCTAGAGAAATACACCTACTGAAGAGTGGCTTTGTGTGAAGACTCTCAGGGTTACAACAGATCCTTCATCTTAAGCTACAGACACAGAGACCAAACGATTTGTTTGTGAGATGTAATTTATTTTGTCTGCTCTGTTTTAACTTTAGCTGCTCTAAGTACTTAGTACTTTTTAATGCTTGCTTAGTTATCTTAGACACCTCCTAAACATTCATTTTCTCAATTATTTCTTGAAAAGTTTAAATGAATAAAGATGAGAGTATTGCCGCTTAAATAACAGCACCAACATCAGTGTGTTTGTTAAAAGTCAAGGCTTCCTTTACCTACACGTAGCCATAGTCTGGTTATCAACATCAGGATTTCCAAAATGCAAAATTTGCCTGTCTGTGAATTTAAAGTTTTCTTAGAGAATATACCAGAGAAAATGCAGGAATGTCCAAACTTTTCTCAGGCTGTAAGGAGCATAGAGTGTAGTCCTGGGTGAAAGAAACAGGATGAGAAATGTTCTACCTTCAACACTCACTCACTACCAGTCTAATTTTCAAAAAGTAGATATTGCTCCAACTAAAAATCTGCCTTTATAAAAATAATTATATAAAAGAAGGAGAGTCTACAGATCAAGTGCCTTCCTAATAAAGGCACTGTAATTGAAGTGATTCACTTTATAAGTGTTGCTTTTATGTCTTTTATGTAATGATTGGGTGTATGTACACAGGGCTGTGTCTCTATGGATTCACTCAACATTATTATTTTGGGAGAGATCTCCGATCTGTTAGATGATTTTCAAACATACCACAATATGTTGCACCCTCCTGCCAAAACAGGTCACAATGGCAAAAATTAAACATGCTAAGTTGAAGCACTCAGGTAAGAAAACTAATACAAATATAATACAAACCTAAATAATAATCATGATTATGTTATAAAATAAAATGTTTTAATGAGTTTCGAAACCATAACACAAATTATCTCTTCCCAAAATAACTATTGAATAAACAAAGTGAGCCAAGCACATGAACAGAAAATAACAGTATTTAGGCTGCTACATACCAATATTTTAATGTTAAATTAGTAAAACAAAAACAAACTTTTAATAATACTACTAGTCTTGGATTCATTAAAGAGTCGTACTCTATACCACTCAAACTCTTCTAGAGTATCTTCAATTGGTCACTGTTTTCTTGACAATGAGAAATGACTGTCAAGTACAATAAACATACACAACAACAATATAAAATAATAAACAATTATATTAGCCCATGCATTCTTTTACTGATGGATAACTTTGATAGATGTTATTTTAACTTTAAAGAAGTTTACAATTACACCAAGCCAATATCATCAAGAAAATAAGTTCAGCTGGGTGATCAGCTTTGCAGTTTTTCTTTCCTCCTACTGAACAAACCAGCAAAACAGTTTTCAGTGGTCAGCTGCTTGTTTTTTTGTTTGTTTGTTTGTTTGTTTTTTGGTGGTGTTTTTGCTCTATGTCAGAATCTGACTCAGCATTGATCACATACTGTGAACTAGGGACACCACCATCATTAATCTCTTCTGAGCTGAAATGAAAATCATTTCTGCATTAGATTGTGTGTAATGCATTTAATTACTGAACACTTCTGAGCAGGATAGAATCGGCTTACCAAATGATAATCGGTGACCTAAACTGACACCCAATTATTAAAGAAAGGAAGTTTGAACAGTTAAGATCCACTTATTAATCTGCACCCATTTTTTTTTTTGGCACAGTGATATAAATAAACATCAGTTGATGATTGGATGTTAATTTATTCTGAATCACACAGTGACATACATTCACAAGGAAATAGATGAACAGAATCAGATTTAGCTGCTGGCTAACATTTAGCTGTCTCCAACGCTTACTTTCACATAACATGTTAGTGTCCCAATTTATGAGTAAAATCACTCATAAAAGGAGGATACAAAATCAGGATTTAGTTGTAAGTTTAATAATACAGACTGAAAAATATGTAGACAAGCCTCATGTTTAGAAAAAAATGAGACATATGACAAATTACAGTACACCAAGAAGAGTTCAGGATATTTAAGTCTGTCAGATGTTCATTTTGGGCAACCAGACTAAGATTGACAAGGTAAAATATAAGAAACTTTGATTAAAATTATTTATGTTCTGTTAGCTTTTTGTATTGAAAATCACTCTTGGATGCCATTTCTCTTCAATTACTTCAGTAATACTGATGAATGATGAACACTGACATAAAAGGGGACCTATTACATTTTTTGGCCTCTGGAAAATTACCCATTTCAAAATCCTCTTAATTGTTGAGTCACAACTGACTGATCTTATGCTGTTTCCTAGAAATCCCAGCTGAGCCCAGCCTGTTACCTAGCAACCCAAGTGGAGCTCGAGCATGTTTGCTCAGCTGGTTTTACCGCTGTGTGCTGTACAATGACTGCTGGAAAAGACAAGTGTTTTGTCTGGCAAGAGCCTCAGAATCAGCTCATTCTGAAAGGAGCTCAGACCAGACTAAAATCTCATTATCTAAGAATTATTTTGTGCAAAAACTGTAACATATTTTGTATAGACTTACCCTAACCCGTTCAAGAAAGAATCAAGGTCATCTTTAATTTAGACAAGTAAGGTTAAAGTGTTCTTTAGAAGTCGATCTTTGTTTCTGAGAAGGCTCATCACTGTGCCATATTTCCTCCTGGTTGTTGATAACAGCACACATTCGACAGAGTGATCAGAGACTTTAGATTAATGTGTTGCTTTTTGAGATCTTCAGCTTCCTTTGTGTTGTCAGACACGTTCTATTTATTAAGCATTCTATCTATATTACAAAGCAGTCAGTATTCTGGTCTTGGTGGCCAGATTTAAACTTTAAACTCCTACAAAGGTTGTCAACAGCTAATTCATGATTGAATTATGCATATTCTCATAGTGCCAGGATGGCTTGGATACATTTCTCCCTCCAATAAAAAAAAGTATTTTTGAAAAGAGCTTTTTTTTGTATATACTCTGGTGGTCTTTGTCTGATGTGGCACTGTTATGGACACGGTGTAACAACGCCTCAGTGGGATAACTAAAATTGCCACAGAGCAATCAGTGTCGTTATTTTTTGACAGATGTCGAATGAATGTTGCTTGATGAGTCAAAATGACAAGCCTCATACATGCATTCATGACGTGGGATTCAGCATGTTCAGATTATTAGATCAGGACATTAAGGTCACCTTTTTCATCTCATGTGTCTAACAGAGATGCATCAAAGGTGAAATTAATGACTGCCATGCCTTATCATGGTTATGAAATGTCATGTAGTAAAGCAACATGTAAAAATTATTAGGACAATGGTATTGAGCTTTTTATGAGAGGTTTTTGCTGTGTAACCTGCACTTGACAACATATAGAATAAAATGTATGCAAACTAGCCAGTTGTAGTCAAACGGGATAGAAGTATTAATTTATTTTTACATTGCAAGTGCATGAAAATTCTTAGGTTTAATTGGCAGGTTTCAGCCAGCGACACATCCAGAGAGCATACTGGATACCTGGTTTTATCATTTAATAAATCAGCACACAGTCAACAGCCAGAAAAATATGTTTTTGCCATAAATCAGATTAGAAATCGATATGAATTTAGTCATGTGTGGGAAAAAATCTCAGAATCTAAATTGTGATGGATGTAAGAGCTACTGATCTTCAGGAACTCATGTTGTAAGTGATAGTATATTTACCTCTTTTTTTTTTTTCTATCTCCCTGACCCGTCTCCCGGCTCTCTTTTCCAATCTCCTATTTCTCTATCCAGGACCAGGAGCCCTCCAGGGGCGAGGAGCTGGTTTACATGCAGGGATGAGTGCCAGCCTGTGCGTTTGGGTTTCCCTCTCTGCTGTTCTTCTGGTGAAAGTGTGAAGCCCTGTTTGCTGGAATCATCCTCAAACACCAAGGCCCATTTCTCCCTCTGCTCCCTCTGTCTCACTCTCTCCCCTCTCTCAAAGGAAGGAAAACAGAAATGAAATTCTTTAATTACGAACCCATCACTGTGAACAAAAAGAATATGCATTATTTCAGGAGCCATTGAATCACTGCATCAAACACGACTACTCCCTGGAAACCCCCTCCCCTGCACCCCTCCGTCCAGTTATGAATTCAACTTAGTCACAATATCTCTTTCTTCTGTTTCTCTGTCACGCATACCTTTTCGCCTTGCAGACTTGTCTGACTTGGTACTTCCCCTCTCCGCCTTTTGCTTTCCCCCCCCATGACTCCCGCTGAGGTGAAGCTGATAGAAAGTGTATATTAACGATGACGGCGACAAACGAGAAAATAGATAATCTAACAACTGTACGGTCATTTATGTAATATAAAACACAGACTATTGACTGACCTACAATGTTTGCCTTATGGAAATAATACATGAAATCACAATATTTTGGTGGGTATTTATGGAAATGATAGTTATAATGTGATACTGGCTGTCATGTGAAGTTTCACCCTATGATCACACACTTAAACCAAGTGGAGACACATGTATGTTTTTTTATTATTATTATTATTTTTATTATTATTATTATTATTATTTTACCAGTGTAGCAGTGAAGCTGCTATGAATGATGTCAAAATGTATTAAAAAAGGATGGGTGGTGATGGCGCCAGTCCCCTTTATGTAATTTGGGGAGGTTTATACTACGTTTTCGCATGTAGCCCTCACTACCCAGACCTTTTTAAGTCCCTCTGCCCTCCTCTTTGCCTCCCTGTTTAAAGTGCTTTGTCTAGTTGCCCTTCATATTGCTAGTGTTCTCAGCTGTTCGTCGATCCTACCAACCATCGTCACCTGCTTTTCATCCCTCCACTGTAAATATACGCAGCCCAGAGGCCATGCTGGTGACTTCAGGTCGCCTCCATAAGATCTTCAGTAAGCCTCTACTACACGCAAGTCTTCTGAAGCAGCAAGAGACTGTCTATTGACAATTAATATCTTCTGTTTCAAAGCTATTGCTGCTCCATCCTCTTTGTCGCTTGTTGATAGCATGTACTGGTTAGAGATGTTCCTGTTGTGAGTCCATTCGCCCTCGCTCCCTCCCTGCACTGTGTCTGTTTTTTCTCTGCAAGGTTACCTGCTTTTACTGCTTTTACTTTTTTGGTGTTAATACTACTACTACTACTGATGATGATAATGACGATGATGATGTTAATAAGTATTTGAATAACTATGAATAGTAATTCCATGTAAGGAGAGGGAAAAAAAAATGAACAAAACACGATGGCAATGAGTTGTGCGTGGGGAGGGGAAAACGTTTTCTACTTTGCTCGCACACGTCGAACAACTTCAATGAAGATAAAAGAAAAAAAAAAAACGGAACAAAAAAAAAAAGTTGTAAAGTTTTTGAAGTGATGTGGTCTATTTTGCCATGGCAAGCTTTTTAAAATCACATTTGAAACAGTTCGAGGGGGTCATTTCGATCGGGTCCTGAAGCGGTGGCTGGTGATGTAATTTATAATTTGTAACAGTTTATGTATTTGACTCTTTCTGTCATGCTTTTAACTGCATCAAACACACATTTACACCACATCTGTCCGCTTGTCATGGTGTGTCCTCTGCCGACCATCTAGATAAATGATTTGGATCCATGTCGGTCTCTGGCTGTGGCTGTAAGTCAGTTCTTGTTCTGCCAGACCACAGGGAGATAAAGATGTAATTAGCCATTACCTGTGGCTGGCTGAGCGAAGGAGCCCGAGATCCACCTGTCCTTTCCGCCGCTCAGTTATGGCCCCCATAAATCAAGCTCAATCCTACCACTGACAGGAATCCTCTTCAAGGACAAATCTCACCTTGGTGCACCACTACTCCCTCTGGTGTGTGTACCTGTGACAAAAAAAACCCTGTACAGCACAAACAGCGAGAGGAAATCCCGTATTTCGTAATGCCTGCACCCATTTCTTGTGTTCAGCTCACACTCAGAGACTATATGCAAATTTGCCATAGCAAGTGCGCACCAAGGGATGAGTCTACCCCAGCTGAACCCTGACTACTACAACATGACAGGGGAATTACTCAATACTGAATCAAATGTGTGAATGTGTTTTTTTTGTCTGTTTATTTTTATTGTTTCTTTTTCAAATCAGCAATAACCCCTAATTTTACTGTGCAAGAGATTTCCATCATGGTCAAATCTGTGGTGTAATATCTGAAATGATCTGCCATTAACAAGCTCTATCAAAAGTCTGTTGTTGTACTTTTACTGTGTACTTTCCTCGGAAATGATTGTGAAGCTCTGTTTAAATGGCCCTTAATCTAGGACACTATATGTCGTTTCCTCTGCGATGTATTTGGGTGTTGAAGAACACATATTGTGCATGCAACTACTTGCTCCCAAAGCAATGATGGATTCCATTTCAAGCACAATAGCAGGTCATTTGGTCTGTGGAACATTTATTGCCAATATTTTTAAACTCTTACTGTCTTTTAGAATACTTTTTTCTTTTTCACACTCACTTACTGTCCTGCGTCAGCTTCCCACTGAGGGTTATCGGTGGCCCGTAACATCTGTCTGTACATAATCTGTTGTTGATAAAGATAAAAAGAAGATAAAAAAAAAAACTGTGGACAAGAAAACAACATACTGTCATGTTTGTCAGCGTGTGTTTGAAAATAGCATGTCTGTATTTGTGAATGGGTGGATTTTGAAAAAAAAAAAAGAAAAGAAAAAAACTACCAAATTTTGTCTGTTATGTTCGAGTTTAATGGTGGAAAGTCTGAAAAGAGTAGGGGTTTAAAACTGAATCTGAGCATTTCAATGTTTGACACATTTCACCATCATACACTTTTATATGATATTAGGTTTTACAATATCATACTTGAATTACTTTAGATTTCATACATTTTCCAGGGCTCATTGATTCAGCTAAATATGTATTGCTATTCTTCAAGCTGTTTTAGTAGTTTTATCATCATTCAACTGATTAGATTGAATTTAGGAAGGAAGAGTTATTAGAGGGCGATATCTTGCAGGAGTGACATTTAGCGTCATGCTAACAGCATGCTTATGGGTGTTTTGATATATTTGAGTCCGCTAGTTTGGATTTTAAACAGAAAATAATGAACACTTTAGTTTGTAGAAGCAGAGAATATGGGTTCTGTCCATATTTTTTCCCTTGCAAAACAAATGTAATATCAGTTCATTTAAAAATGCTTCTCTATAAACCTCCACACATTTACTACACATTTACAGAACTCTTATTTTTTGCACTGAAGATCAAGGTTTGCAGGCCGTTTCAATGCTACCTGGGTTTGGTATCACACCAAGATCTCCCAGTAAAAAACTTTCTGAATGCTGTAGTTTAGTAAAACTGGAATTAAATCAAGGGAACAACTACAATCAAAGGCTGTTTTGACATATTTCAGCTTGCTAGTTTGGATTTTTCCAGCCCTCCATGAAGGTAGTCATTATCTTGCAGCAGAGTTCTCTGGATGGTATTTCAGCGAAGACTTGGAGAATCATGTAGTGCCAACAGCAGGCGCTAACAACTTGTCAGAGCAGTACTGGTTCTAAAGGAACAATTTAAATCTCAAACATTTTATGACAGCTAAATGTCATTCTTTACACCTTTACACTCCTGACATTTTTATTTGATTTAGTTATTTGCACAAGATCATTTGTAAGTTCCCCTCTTAGTCAAAATGTTTTAAATGTGTTAAGAGTGCTTCACCTTACAAAGTGGCTAAAGGTAAAGTGATAAAGTATCAAAATCAGTAGTCGAACCACTGTAAGACTTGATTTTATACCAGAGTCATAAAAACTCTGGAAATAGAGTTGCTTTGCCAGCGGTCCATGCTAAATGTCCCATCCCACGCCCAAAAATGGAAAGCATAAAGCTAATTAATCTGCTTTGGATCTTGCCGCTCTTGCTTATTACTGCCAAGCAAGTGTTGTTTTTTTTTTGTTTTGTTTTTTTTTTACTATTTCCACAAAATACTAATTGCTCAAACTCTCTTCATCTAATCCAGTTTCAGATAAAATTGAAACTACCACACTCCTTAAACACCTGCTTCACTTGGTTTTGCCACTCCTTCTATTAGAGATCCTCGTTTCCTCATTGCTAACCCCTTATTTAATATTTATGATCAACTGCTGAGCAACAGGTTGATAACGACAGGCCTCTCTGAAGCATTTTGTCAATGTAATTATATATACCCAAGCGCATATCTTTGCTCACAGCCGTACATGATTCACACTCTTATTATGACATAAAGGCTGCAGAGAGGGTTGTCAAGCTGGTAGAAGATCCCCGGGGTGTAAAATTTAAGGGTAGATGAAGTTCCTGCTGAGGGAGCAACCAGCCGGATGGTCCCGTGGGATGATATCCTGACAATGCAAATCCAAAAGTTCATAGCTGGAGAGAGATGCAATGACACTCACCAGACAGTGAACCCTTCATTGAGAGAAGGAAGACAGACAGGCACTCAAATTGCATTTCCAAACTTGAGCGTTGTGGTCCCCCGCTCCCCTAGGGGAAGGTGTAGCACATTCTATTTATGCTTGCACCATGTAATATGAACATCATTAACATAGCCTTGATCACAAATGCAGTCTGGCCTATTTCCAGTGTGTAAATAACACTCCAACTGGGGTGCAATGCGTTTACAGTGATATAAACAAGACAATTCTTCAGCCCCTAATTACATTCGGCGTACCCTGATGAGAAAGTGTTGATTGGCTCCTGCAGCTGAAGGTTATGATGATCTATTTCCAGAGTCATTCTTAATAAGGTGCCATGTTGTTTGGAGCTCACAAAACTTCAGCCCGTTTACTGTTTGTGGCATTGTGGTGCACATTAACAGCTGCATTTGTTTCACAATTGTTTTGTGTAAATGCTTGGTCAAAGAATATTAAATGAATAGATTTATTGGATCTTTATTTATGTTTAGCATATCATTAACGTTGCATGAAAGAGGATTGTAAAATATTCAGAGGAGTGCGCTTTTAGAAAAGGATAGCATATTCAAACGCTTAATGGTGCAAGTAAAAGCACTGTAGTAAAATAATAAATATAACTGTTGAAAAGTAAATCTGATAGTTAGAACAACATGGATATATCCCGTAATTCAACACGTGGTAGTGGGCTTACAGCATAGCCCCTCTTTTCAGCAGGTTTGCTGCTCAAAGCAAATCCTGGAATAGACTTTCAATCCTCAACACAATAGTTAATCAATATATTTGACTGAACAGCTTTGAAATAGAGCAATATCTCCCCAGCCTCAGAAACTGGATTGATCAAGTGTCCATAGCCCAGCCTTAGAGCAGAGAGCATTATTCATCATGCCTGATACAAGACACCCCTAATTGCACATCGATTTTAGGCCCTTCTCTGAAACTATTTGGGCAAGCTGTAATGTCAGCTTGGTAAACTCTGTACTCAGGAGCATGAGCCAGATCCAGGGAAATAAGGAATTAATCATTAGTTTTCCATTTCAAGTAAATGCAGTCTTGTATTTGTATTGCTTGTTTTGGTACACAGCCTCCCTTATAACATTGCATGTGCAATTTAATTCCAGAGCAACTGCAACACAGACTTAAATTTAGCTATTATGTCAATATAGGGATGACATCCACAAGAAAAATAAATTGTGTGTAACAGATTAGTTTCATTTGTGAGCTACAGCATGGTCTCACAGCAACTAGAGGCAGTATACCAAAAGGATATGCTACACCAGAGTGATAATTGCATATGAATCAATATCATTATTCCAAATCCCCTGCTCATGTCCTGTACTGCAAAGCACGCCTAATTCCCATATATTATCCCAATCATCCATTGTTTACCAGCTATCCGGAGGCCCATTCCGCTCTCATGGGCAAAGTCAGTGTTGCAAGTTTATTAAGACGCAATATAGTTTCATTACTGCAGCTAACGTGTGCCCCCGTATGTTGCCTGTTGGGTGTCAATAAAGCGAGGAAAAGGCTGCGATGGATTGATAGATGGACATATAGGCAGAGATTCCTCTCTTAACAAAGACTTCGGGCCACAGAGCAGAAGCATTGGTCTAATTAACAGCATGCCACAGTCCACCAGCGGGGCAACAGCAACATTCAGGCAGGCAAAAGCAGGAATCTCGCCCACCACGTCTTTCTACTCATTAAGTCGCCCACCTCGCATCTCCAACACAGAGAGAGCACCATTACTTGGCCTCTGTGAATAACCGTCCTACGCGTTGCATTTTCCTTGTCAATCAACCAATGAGTAAATATTGGTTGCAGCGCCAAGGACTGACAGGGAGAAAAAAGAAAAGGTGGATGATTTTTTTTTTTTTCACAACTCACAGTCACAACTGGTATTTTTGTGCTGATTAATATTGCAGTCATGTTACAGAAAGGCAGTTATGTTGCAAACCAAGGTAAGCTGAAGTCACAGCTGCAGGGTAAAATGCTGGAATCTGGGATACATGAGAAGATAGTAAGAGGGCCGTGTGCCTCCGGACAGAAATTACTGCCTTTGAATAGAAAGAGGAAAATGTCGCATTTGAAATCTGATAACAAATTTTACTTGAGGACTGCTGCTGTGCATAATTGCTGGAATAAGCTGACTTAATGTTGAATGTAAAAACCCATCTCTCCATGTTTCTCTTTTTTACCATCTGAATTTGTTTTTTGTGCAGATGATCTGAGAAAATACTCCCCCATCCCTCTTTTCTACAGGTTTGCCCACCTTTTTTGCATTTTTTTAGAGATGCATTGTGTATAAACTAGCACAAGGACTGCAGTGATGCATGTTAAAGTGTGCATTATCCATTAGTAATTCCAAGGGCCATGTATCTGAGCAGTATGTGTGCATCTGTGTGCTTGTGTTCCCTCTAAGCTCCACTGGGCAGGTTGTTTCATTCGTAACATACACCTGGATTGCAGGTTCTTATTACATTCCTAAAGATGTTATCGATGTAAACACACAAGACAAAATGAAAGGAGCAAAACGTTTGTTTTCCCATCTTGAGAGTTGTTGTTCTGTGCTGTAAAGTGATTGTATTATTTTATTATTATTTTTTGGCTGCAAATCCTGTCTTTTTTTTACTTTTATTTCATTGCTGTTGGTGTTTTTTCCTTTTTTTTTTTTCAAAATCCACAAAGTGGAAAATGATATCAAGTGGAGGGAGACAAAAAATAAAACGGTTTTGTTTTTAACAACACCTATTTTGTGTGGTTTGTTGCTGGAAATGGGGCAGTGTAAGAGAATCAACATGAGAAAATGAGGTGAGGTCAGCTTGTTGCTTCACCTTGGTTTTGGCTTCCTATTGTTTTAAAAGGTTCTTGCTTTTGTAGTGTTAATGCATATATATATATATTTTTTTTTTTTTTTTGAGGGGGGGGTTTGTTTGTTTTTTGCCTACATGAGCATCTGACATATCTGTTTAAACAATACTCTTTAATTTTAGGCTCACATCAAATTGATAACCAACAGCCACGCACTGTTTTGAGATAATTGATTGACACAATGTGCTGTCATTATTCATTTTTGATGAGAAAATTATGGCTGTCACTTCATGTTTGGTGTTAATTTCACAATGGTTTCTCCTCACAAGATGATTTTGCAGCCGAAAAAAAAATAAAAACATCCCTAAGGACAAACATTGACGTGCTCTCATCAACAACTTCTGCATATTTAATCTAAGAAGATTATATAGGTAGACAATCGCTGTGTGCGCAAATTTGGCTCAGTTAATCAGGAAAGCACAGAAACATTACTACACATTTTGTGTAAACACAAAGTATTTTTTACCAAATTAACTTTTTCACATCTTGTAAACTGAAAACATGTGTCAAAAACGTAATTGGGAGGTGGAGAAAAAGGTTAATTTTATCTTTAAGAAAAGTTTTATCTTTGAAGGGGGAAAAAAATCTTCAAAATGTGATAGATTTGTGTTTAGCTCTCATGAGCTGATTAGACGCTCCAAGTGTTTTGGGGTCTCTACCTGGTTTCGGCATCTAGATGCTTAACATTTTACCTGTTTTTGTTTTCAAAATAGTTCAGGATCAGTCACACTGCATGTAGTATGTTATCCATCTACATTTTCAGGAGTGGTTTTACTTTTTGTTTAGGTTTGGACTTTGGCTATTTTATGTGATGAATATCCTTTAATCTGGTGTTCTGCCTAAAGGTTACTCTCCACCCCAATCTCAAGACTATGAAGTTTGTTTCTCACACATTACATCTACCAGCCCTTTCATTAAACAGCTTAGCTGTTTTTAAAAGCAATAATATCGGCTCATCTCTGAGAGCTTGGTGGGAATATCTCAAAATAATTAGATGTTCAACTCTTCCGTGCAGACAAACACCCATTTGGAACAAGCTTTTTAACACTTAGTAAAGTGGTAAATTATTTAAAGAACAGATGGAAAAGATTCTGTAGCCTTTTTAATGATTCATGTTGCACTGATAAAAATAATTAGTTTGAATTTGCAACAAAAATTTATTGTCCTGTCCAAATTTAAGAGTGACAAAGTGGGCACAGAACTTCCTTATACTTTTCCCCCGAAGTTACTCCTAAAAATATAAATAAAATATTTAGAAGTAAGGCTGCACAGTAGCACAGTTGGTAGCACTGCTGCCTTGCAGCAAGAAGGTCCTTGGTTTGAATCCCAGCCTGGAGTCTTTCTGCATGTTGTGCATACTACAGGCAATTATTTCTGCTTGTTATGTATGTTAATGATTATTGTCATTGTCAGGGATATTTTTCTGTTCTTGTTTTTATTGCATGCAATGGAGTATTTAATGAATCCTTCATCCTATTAAACTGTATCAGCTTCTGATGTCCATCCAGTTTAGATGATGGCAAACTACAACAACAAACTAACCAAAACGAGACATTTGCAGCCTTTAACAGTTTGTTTTTCAGGTTCACTCCTTATTTACCTCCATTCATCTCCAAATCTACTGTGATCAACTTTCCTGCCTGCGCGACACAAAATATCTCCACAGAATGATGCTTCTATTATGAGGCGTTCAGGATGATGTGCTGTGTTTTCCATTACAATGTTTCCCAAAGTAGGCCAAAAAGCTCCTGTTTTCTTCTCATATGACCAGGCTACATTCTTTCACGCAAGTATGTGTCCCATAGTGGCAAAATGGGAATTTAATGACTTTTACTACGGACTCTCCCATCTGAGCGGTGGATTTCTGCAGCTCCTCCAGAGATATCATGTGCCTTCTCTAATTGTTGTTGTTTTTAAATGGTCGGTTAGTTTAGGAAAGTTAAAGTTATTAACTTGAAGTACTGCATATACAAAACTGCAAATAATTCAGGTAGGAAACCACAGGAAACTCTTTGACAACCACTTAGAGCACAAGAGATCCCTTTGGGTTTCATGCAAATTAGCAAGAAAGGTTATTGATATTTATTTTTTATTGTTTTAAGGAATTGGTCAGTCTGCTAAATTCTCAGATTTTTTATTCATTCTGACATCAGAAAAAAAAAAAAAAAGAAAAAAAAACCTAGGTATTTCTGTCGAAGTTACCAATTGCACATTCAAACCTCAGTTTAAATATGATCATAATGACCTAACTTTATGTGCAAACTCAGATATGCATTTTGCAGAGATCATTTATCATCAAATCAAATTTGCTCATTAGGTTATTTACCGCATGAAAAAATTTCAGTGTGCATTTAATTGAGTATGTGCATGTGCAGAGCGTGCTTATGAACTTTCTAAGGTCATTCAGACATTATGCATGGTTTACTACTAACATGATTAACAGTTATACTATTTTCTAATTTTCAATTTCACTATGTTTTTGTATTTTTGTGACAAGTCCTTCTTGTCACTTTCAGAATAAAGGGTCGTCCTCTTTAAATCAATGTAAAAAATTAAGAGTTTTCATGGACAATCATATCCTTCTTCTGTGAAGCAAATCAAGTCCTAGCAGACAGCCTATTGTTGAACTTGAAAGTAATTTACTGATGTTATTTTTCCTCAGATGACAGAGATTTAGGTTTTACTGTAGCTGTTGCACAAGTAAAAACTCACAAAATCCAAGTCAAAGTGAGACTTGGAAAACATGAGTACACATAGGACTATGATGCAAGTGCTATGCAAAACAAAATGAAATAAAAAAACTTGTTTCTGGGTCATACCAAGGATTAAAGATTTTGTTCTCTTAAAAAAGAAACAGGCACTGCTTGAATATAAACTGCTCTTGTCTAAAGGTGTCCTGACTAATCTGGGTAAAAAAAAAAGCACCCTGCAGAATAATAATCAGTTGCTTACTGTTGCAATGCGGTTTATGTCAGCATGCAGGCAAACTGCATAAGTGTCTTCCTAGACACTGACATATGTAGTTTTTTACCCCATCGGTCACTGAGATGCAAGTTTGTGCTGAGACATAACCTAATAATGAACCATCAGCATTAACTACAGTGTGACTGGTTAAAAAAAAAGTAAATAAATAAATAAAAATGAAGAAAAAGCTGAGAGCATCAGAATTTAATGCTCAGCAAGGTTCAGATTTCACAGATTCAGAGAAATTATTTCAGAACTGCAGGAAGGAACAACTGCAGCATGGCAAAACAAGCAAATCTATGTTTGCTTATGTAGCTACACCCCCAATAAACAGGTCAGTCTGAATTGTCATGTTCAAAATAGCTTTTGTATCCACTGGTGATTCGTTTTAGATTAGTATTGTATTCGTTTGACTTTTAAAGATCTTTTATCTTACAATTAACAATTTCCTGGACAGTTTTTGTCTTCAAATTCTTGGCATGGTTATAATTTAACGCAATGAGACAAGAAAATGGTTCTGTTTGGAAAAAAAAAATCTGAAGTTAGTGAATTCAACCTTGCATAACCTTGTAACAACAGATAAATATTTGTATGAAGTTGGATCAATAGATGTTCCGCCTTCCAGCTCAATTATTAAATTCAAGTTATAGAGTCAGGTGCCTCCTTCCTCTCCCACTCTAAATATCAATATTTTAACTCAATGTGAAGTTAATGTGAAAATCACAAATTTTCACATTGGAGCACGACATGTTGGCAGATGCTGATGAATTTTAAACATTTACCTTTATCTGGGTAATACTTTCTCTGCAATTAAAAACCTAAAGAAGCCCCAAATTTTTTGTAAAGAACTTTAAATCTGAACCACCCTGTAGTTTCACACGGAAGCAAATGTTGGATATAAAAGAAACAGAAATATAAAAAAAATATTTCTAAAAACAATGTTTGGTTTACAGACTTTTTTTTCTTACCTTTAAGTTTTGAGACAAGTTGCACAGCATCCTTGAAGTGAAGCAAA